CTCCCGCCGTGCGCGCGGGAATCGTTGTCGTGGCCGTGTGAGGATGGGAAATGCTGCGTGCGTGATGGGCCCCCGCGGCTGACGTAAGTAGACTGGTCGCGCCCAACTACCATTGGGGAATTGGAACGCGTCTGCCTAGGCCTTGAGTGGCGCGATCTTACCCCTGAGTACTCGGACGGCGATAGACGTGACTCGATCCTCAAAGTCCCCGTGCCCTCGACAATGGTCACCCGTCACTCACCCTGGCACAACGACGTCCTCCTCTCACCTCCGCCCCTCCGCGGCGAGAGCCCGTCCTCTCCCCCTCCTTGGCCCTGCCACTAGCCTTGCTCTTCTTCCTCCTCTTCGCGACGCCACATCGGGGTCAACGTCCAAGTCTTACCGTACTGGGCATGGGACCCCGCGGTCTGAAGCACGATCCCGGCCTCCGCGCTCAGGCCCCTGGTCGGCCGATGTTGACAAACGAACCGACGGTGCTCTTGCTCTCTTTCTCTGTCTGTCTCCTCCCCCCCGTATTCTCGCTTCCTTCTTGTTCCTCCTCTGTCTCTCTTCTACTCCTTCTCTGGTTTGCTTGATGTATTGCTCTTTTCGTTCAGATATGTCTTCTGTTGTGGGCAAGGTGCATCTCTTTCCTATTTCCGTTCTCTGATCGATTTACATACCTGTCTAGACCAGGCTCTCCGTACTACGGTGCCCCTGATCTTTCTAGCCGGTCCTGACAAAACACCAGGTTGTACAACACAAGCTTCCACTTTTGAGCGATAGGGTATATACAAAAAAGGTGAGCACCGTGGATAAGAGCAGACCCTGGAATTGTTTGACTGGCACAAAGTGTTTCAGTCTTACAGCAGTGTCTGTCTCTCATTCTTTCCCCCAACTCAAGCCAAAAACACCCGGGGGGGTATCCAAACAACCCCCCCACCACACCACACACCACCACACACCACCACACCACCAAAACCGGACAAACTGGAACCGCGACATTGCCATATATCCTCTAGACTATCCACCCTCGCCGCACGACACGTGTCCATGCATATGTATATACATACATACGATGATGGCCAATTGGCCAGCGGTGGTCTTGATTGATTGGGAGTTTGGCTGGCACAAAGTGTTTCAGTCTCACAGCGTGCCTGTCTCTCATTCTCTCCCCAAACTCAAACAACACACACCCGAGGGGGTTACCAAACAACCCCCCCACCACACCACACACCACCAAACACCACCACACCACCAAAACCGGAAAAACTGGAACCGCGACAATGCCATATCCTAGACTATTGACTATTCATCAGTATTTTCACGTCAGCTCTTCTCCTCAGATAGTATGGGATCAACAGTGGCATCACTTCCCACAAGGGTCGGTGTATCCACTCCTCGTGAATAGGAAGGGAAATAAGTGTCCACTGGCGAAACTCTTCACGATAAGTTTGTTGGGGGAGAACAACTGAGCGGAAATATGTTGCCGGGCGGGTGAGTGGTGTCTCAACAGAGCAAGCACTCTCTTATCTCTGTTTTCCTGTGGGAACAGGGTTGGCAATTGAAGAGTGAGATGGCGCATCTGACTTTCTCAAATAATATTGTCTCTGTATTGCGTGACAGAGCTGGGCACGATTTTATCTCTTCCCATCTCCGTTCCTCATAATGCACTCTCACCGCACGACTCGTGTCCATGTACATACATACATACCTTGTCGGCCAACTGGCCAGTTGATGTAAGTCGAAGACATGGCCGTGCTGTGGCGGTCCCTAGCAGTAGTCCATGTCCACAGCTTGAAAGAAGTTCGGCACGATCCACGATCCATGATCCGACGACGGCGGGTAAGTGTTCCTCAGCGTTCATCCGCGATCCGGGGCGATGTTTCATTCCACCGTGCACCAACATGGCATCCACGTCACCGCAAGCCAAACCTACGTGTCTGGTGTGTGGTGACTCGGCAAGCGAGTGTGCTGTGACGACATGCCAATGTGGTGGCGGTCTCAAACAACCCTGCCCTCAGCAACAGCAGGGGTGGACGGAACCACGTATCGGATGGATCCGACGGGTAGACTAAACGCTTTATTCTACAGCCGACCAGCGACCAGCGGACCATGGCGCAGGCGGACGTCGCATACCAAGGCGTCCGTTTGGCCATGCTCATGGTCGGGCACACCCCAGTCTGGGTAATTGCTGCACACAATAGTACACTGTATTGTATGGGAAAACATCGCTGGCACGACCGTTCGCACGGTAGTCGACCTCAATCGATGGTCCCGCAGCCAACCTGAATCGGTGGTCCCGCACAGCACGCTGGCCAGTTTCATCGTGTTGGTGCAGACCAAATTGGTGAGTTTGAGCGATAGGGTATTCAGAATCATGGTGAGCACCGCGGATAAGAGCAGACCCTGGGATTGTTTGGCTGGCACAAAGTGTTTCAGTCTCACAGATTTATCTGTCTCTTCCAGCGGTGGTCTTGATCGATTGGGAGTTTGGCTAGCACAAAGTGTTTCAGTCTTACAGNTGTAGCACGTGTGGTAGCTTTTGTGCATATTACGGTCGATCACGGAAACCGGCGTCGACTTGCAGGTTCGTGATAGTCGATAGTATATGGTCCAACCCATGAAGCTGGCCGGAGATCGCGTTTTGGTGCAGATCAAGTTGGTGAGTTTCGGCCGAAGATATATGGACACCAACGTGAGGGTTGTGGATGTGTCACGTGTTTGGCAATATGGCCAGCGAGGTGTGTGCCTTGAGGAGCACTCTGTGTGGTGATTGTCTCAAACAACATGTGAACAACAAGAGTAGAAGATCGGGACACGATCCGACGGGTTGAATAGTTTTTTTCCTCCGCGATCCTCTGCAATCTTTAATTCCACGTCCAATCATGGAATCCACTTCGCCGTAGGACATGTATGTACGTACCACGTGTCTGATCACAAGGCGGCTGGCGGCTTTTTAATGAAGACATGTCCGTGCGGTGGCTTTCCCAAATAACGAGTGGGCAGCAAGAGGAGAAGGAGGGGCCGCGATCCGACGGGTATGGTGCACGATCCGACGGGTATATCTTTATGCGCGATCCCGGGGAATCTTTCGTTCCATGGCTTGACACATGCGGAGATAAGAATGTGTGTGGTCACACATCGGGGCCGTTTCACGATGGTCATGTTGAGGCCACAACGCACGCTCCGGGGGCATCTTCGGAGGACGAGGTGTCCGGGCAGGCGGCGGCAGAGCATTGTAAGGAGAGGAAAGAGGGTAGCGAGGCGAAGGGTCTCTCGGAGGAGGACCCCGAGGTGGAGGGGGGGCGTGTTTTCGACCCAGGACCAGAGGCAGAGTTGTCGAGGGCGGTGACGGAGCGGGACGTCGAAGGTGACGGCGATAGTCCTGTGGGGCTGAAGGGGGAGAAGGGCGCTAACTCTGACTCGGTGGCGCCTTTTCAAGCCGGAAAGTTGCTCAAGACGGAACAAGGCAAATCTTCTCGCTCGGATGACAAGGGAATCGCGTAAGGACACGCTGAGAGAGAAATTTATCGGCTGAAGCAATGTCGTTTTCGAGACTAGCGGATGTCGACAAAGCGTCTTGTCTACACGTTGTTCTTGTTGACCCCCAAGACAAGCTCGAAAACGTCAGAATCGGGGGTCAGCTACCTAGAGACGATACAGGTGACCCCCTCTCCTCCTTTACCATAGCCCTGATGGTAGGGAACGTCTCCGTGTTTGAAACCTACGGTTTATCAATTCTGCAGAGCGTTGGTAGAGAAAACGGGCGCGTTCATCCGCCACCTTCGTTACATCGCCCACGTCCTCCCCTCCGATATATGTCTCTCCGCCTACTTGCACTTTGTATCAATTCAAAGAAAATACCTGCCGCGCAGAGGGGGAACACGCAGCTTAATCAACTCACCTACTCCTTACCGCGCGCGCTCGCCAACCAAACTCACGACCCGCGGACAGAGCCTTCGGGCCAACCGCCGTCTAACTTTGGAGCCAAATAGAAGGTTCACGAAGAATGATCGGTTCGTCCTTATTAACCCTGTCTCATTCCCTCTATTCCGCTTGCCACCTTGCCGATATGTCTCTTGCACTGTTAACAGCGTCATGGAGGCGGCCCTCACGATCGTGAGGTCGACCATGGACCTCCAATGCTCGCCATTGACGCTCAACGAGGCGTGCCGGCGCGCACCGACTTTGGTGGTGATGGTTGTTGGAGACTATATGCCACTCAAACGCCTGGCTGGAAGCAAGAAGAACCACGAGGCCGGAGTGCCCCCGGCTACGGCCGGTGACATGATGACCGGGCCAGGCCTCATGCCGGAGTCAAAAAGGGTACCTCAAATCCTTCCGCACGGTTTGGTGTGGTGCCTGCCCCTGGAGGCGTTCGGGCAGGGTGACGTTGACCTCCCAGTTGTGCGTAACCTGCGACTCACCGAGGCAGCCAACCTGCCGGATGACCTGAAGTTGCCGCTGTCCATTGAGCACCTGGACGTTGGGGACGAGTTCGACCACTCCATCGTTGGAGTGGAGTGGCCGGCAGCCCTGAAGCGGCTCGACTTCGGTATTGCTTTCGACCAATCCATCGTCCAAGTCGCGTGGCCAGCCTCCTCGCTGCGCCTCCAGTTCGTTTGTCATTTCAATCAACCGCTCGCCGAGGGCGCGTGGCCGGACTCGTTGCTGCAGATCGAGTTCGAGTATGCGTTTAACCAGTCAATCGCAGTCGACTGGCCAGCATCGTTGTGCGAGCTAACCTTGGGGTCGAACTTCGACCAACCAATTTCCGGCGTCACGTGGCCGCCTTCGCTACACCGGTTCCAGTTCGATGGATATTTCGACCAATCGCTCTTGGAGGTTGTGTGGCCACCCACACTGCAGCGCCTCCAATTCGGATACGGCTTCAACAAGCCTATCGCCGGAGTCGCCTGGCCGTCTTCATTGCAGCGCCTCCAGTTCGGCAGTTATTTCAACCAACCGCTGGTGGAGGTTGCCTGGCGGGCCTCACTGCTGAAACTCCAGTTCGGGGAATTCTTCAATCAGCCCCTCGCCGGAGTCACATGGCCCTTGTCGCTGCAAGACCTAGAGTTCAATGTTGAATTCAATCAGCGCCTCACCGGAGTCGTGTGGCCGCCTTTCCTGAAGCGGCTCAAGTTCGGTTTCTACTTCAACCATCCAATAATCGGAATCGGATGGCCTTCATCCCTACAGCACCTAGCTTTCGGTGGGGGATTCCACCAGTCAATCGAACGAGTTGTGTGGCCGCGCTCGGCCCTTGCTCTGAAGATGGCCATTTGGGATGAGTGGCCGCCCTCGGCACCAGCTCTGTTTTTTAACGGCGAGATTCTTCGCGTACCAGAAACTTAGGAATGGATGGAATTCACGACCTTCTTTTCCCTAGCATCCATTGCAGCTTTTCGACACGGTCCACAATCGTTGGGGTATGGAACAGCATAATATAGAAGGCGGCTTTAGATTGCAAGGTAAAATATTACTGGGTGATCGTCCGACCGATGCAATAGTCCTGGAGGAGGTGGGAGTGCTGCAGAAACATTATGCGTTACCATGGCACGGGGGTACAGTGCCACCGTAGGGCGGTGGCGCATATAAGCTTATATGCGCCGTGGGAGGGCATATCTCGGCATCTACTGGTCGGATGGACGTCCCAGATGGCTTGAACGATGGCTATGGACGTCCGTCGACCAGCGCAATTTGTTTGACGTCGATTGGAGCTTTGGCCACGGAGTTACGGTGGAATATGTGGTTGGTGCCCGCCTTTTGATGCCGCTGAGCCCCCTTTTTCGAGCATAACTTTCCAACGACCGAATGGATTTTGCTTCAAGTTGGCTTGTATGATTGCTATGGGTCATAGCTACACCACAATTTTTAGTTTGTGCCAATTGAAGCTCTGTGGGCGGAGATAAGAGCGGTGGCGCATATAAGAAATTGCGCCACCGGTGGCGTAAATAGACAAACCCTATAATGAGAAGGATCATCCAGCCGCTTTTGTTGGTATGGCGGACAACATGATCGAGATGTTTGCGTGTCGCCACCGAGCATGTCGAGCAACGCCACCTGTACCATCACCTCCCATCATATCCTTCCACGCCTCCTGTATCTGCTGGATCGGCTCGCGTAACACTTACAACTTACAAGTGTCCGCATTGTGCTGGAGTATCCAACACGAAAACAATTCGCCACGACCTGCTCGCTCCAGCAGTCCAGGTCAAGGACGCATTCAGACTGGAGGCTTTGAGAGCAGCACCTGCTGCCATCACCAGCACCTCTTTCTGTCACGCGGCCAAGTAGAACTCAGAGTGTGCACGTGGTGTACCGGTAACCAATGATGTTGGTACTAACACAGGCAGCCGCTGTGGTGTCAATTTGGATGTGAGGATTGCTTTGAATGTATTGATATATGGAGACATTGAACGGAGTTCAAAGGTTTTATTGGGATACTCTTCAGATGAAAGACGAAAGGATTTATCGCGGAAAGGCCGATGCCCGATGAACAAACGTAAGGCGGACGGAAGACGAGGGTGGGAAAAGTTGCGAGGAGGGAATTGGGGAAAGACGAAAAGACGACGCTGAATGAAAGTGAGGACAATAGGTACGGGACCGTTGTCAACGGTGGCCCTGTCGGCGTGGGTGAAGTTTCGGCGGTGTCGTACCCGTTCGTGCGAGTGGCGGTGGTAGGGCCGCCGGCAGCGAAGTCCGGCAGAACCAAAGCACCGCAACATACATGTAGTGTCTTGAACAGAACCTTCTTAGGTGCGACAGGGGTACGCGCATTCGCTACAGTAGTGACAGCACATGCCCCAGCGTCGGAGTGGTCCTACGTGAATATAGAGGAAGCACCCACACATGTAGGAACGTTATGGCAATCGTTATTGAGTCGTAGCTAGACTATCGTTGGGTGTGCTTGATGCACATCGCAGATGTAAACATGCTGTGGCGAAAATATATTTAGGGGCGCTACCTGCTGTACGGTGTCGTGAAATACTCCGTACACTCACGTGCGGTATGCCGTTACACAAAGGTACCAGTAGTATTCAATCATTGGCATAGGTCCTGAGCAGAAAACACGTTGTCCTTGAAAAGAGTGGGGTCCGCCGTTTTTTTTGCAGGATATCCTGCTGTAACAGGATAAACGAGAGGCCCAGTCGGCACAGCCCAGTGTACAAGTGCTGGTGTTACTGTAGATACAACAGTGGTTTGACCAGCTGGCGCTACACTGCGACACCGAGGGACTCTTACTGTAACTGGCGAGACGTCAGAAAGATGTGATGGCGAAGTTCAAACGCCATGAGCCCATCAGCCAAGCATTAGCACAACAGATGCCCCGGGTACGTAACGAGTCTCGCTGCTTGGGACGTAATATATATATTTTTCTTAATTTCGCACAACAAATCCATCTCTATCTATAGAAATACGTCTAAGATAGATTAGCAATGAATCCATAGCGTGAGCGAAAGGCTACCTGTATGTCTACGGTTTCCCAGACAGCATACAACGATATCTCCCCTGTGGGTAACAGGCTCAACAATGGCGCCACTCGCCCGAACCGGCACGCACCACAGGAGAGGCCCCGCGAGCATTCGGCTGCCCCCCCCCTACTCCTGTATCTGTCGACGAACCACATCTTGTTGCCATTGCCAGATTGCGTCTGCTGTCAAGTTGTGTGCTTGTTTGTCTAGGCCTGCCGCTACCCCAAGCTGATCGCTACTGCCTTTGCAACGTGACCTGCTGCTTACCTTCAGCCCCGACGTTGGCAAGTCATTCGCGTGCTCGCCGACGTGAGCGACAGAAGAGGAGGAGAGCAAGGACACGCAGCAGGCATCATCGATCAGCCGCTGCAGAAGCGGGCAAGGATGAGCAGCACCGCGCTCACCATCCTGCACGGTGGCCACCGCAAGGTCACGCGTATCGGGGCCAATGACAGCATGAGCACCGTCGTACAGGTGGGTGTGTTGTTGCACGGCCCATCCCGCAAAATCGGCCCAGTCAGTTTGTGAATCAGTCAGGGCAGCGCAATTCCGCCGCAGGGCGAATTTCCTGTGTTTCTGTCGATCTCGATCGGAGCGATCCATGCATACGATCAAGGCAATAAAGCAGGGGAGCTAATGACTGGAGAAGGTGGCATGGAGATCGACCCTACCAAAAGTGCTTGTTTTATTAGGTTAGAAAGGTCTATCAGGACAAAAAAAATCACCACTGACAACTGCTGTGGACTAGACGACGACCACTGCGGTACCTATTTGATCTACAGAGAACTTGACTTCTGAATGCTGGAAAGCATTCGCTCCAAGCAGTCCCGATTCATTGACACCTGTCAGGTGCTTGGCTTCATTGAGTCTGTTGACGTTCTTGCAGTGTAAGACCCGATACTACCAGCCGCGGATTGGATGTATGTTTGGATGCTAAATATGTGGTTAGCATTGACCGCCCTCCGGCTAGAGAAGGGAAAAGCTCTTTGCATGATGTTTCCGAATACACCCTTTTTTCGGGATCCGTGCCCTCTTTGTGGTGGAGAGTGTAGCGTTCGTTGGAAGCAGGTCTAGAAAGGTGCGCCGTCGCTCACGAACTTGGTCCAGAGAGCATGCACGCGGAATACAGTAGTCACGTTCTACATGCCCGATCTACACAAGTCAATGTGCCAAGTTCAGCTGGAGGGCACGGTTGTCATCAATGCTATTGATCTGCGTGTATGGTTGTGCGACAGCGACGCGATGCGAGTAGAGTCAACTCCGCACACCACCCCAGCCAACACACGGAGCAGAATGTCTCACAGATTGTCGGCGGCAATGCAAAACTATGTTTGACGGGGACTTTTGTACGCCTCTCCCCTATCGCCTCGCGCAATGCCTTCCGCATCTTGATGTGCACGTGGTCGTGCAGATGGCCTGCAGAGAGTTCGGACTGGACGCCGGGAGTCCCAGCTGGGTTCTCAAGCACAAGCGGGCGGTTGTGGACCTGAGCCAGCCGTTTCGCTTCACCGGCATCCCCCAAAACGCTACCCTAGAGCTTGCGGTGAGAAATCCCTTGGTGTCAGAAAGCAAACCGGCATATTATGTAGAAGCCGAAGGCAAACCATGAGACTAGTCAGTCATACACATGACCGCTTGCTAGAGCAGGACTCCTTGCGATTTCTCTAATCTTTGAGGAGCGGCTGTCGGGCAGTTAGAGAGTTCCATAACGTCGTTGAACCCGGCAGAGCACTTGCGGTCCTACCTCTGGCCTTCAAGCGGTAGAGCGACGGAGAGGTGTTTCTTACGGAGAACACGCATCGTGGAGTGAGGCGTGGTGGTCGGGACATTTAAAATGCTTTTTTTCCTTTCGAGATTTGACGGGAGTTGATGAAAGGAAGCGCCCCTCGTCGAAGCATTCCTTTAGTGCCTGTCGCTCATCCCCCCTCCCCCCTAAGATGTGTGTACCTTTTGCCGATTTTCTGGAGGGCATGCGCACAGGAACCAACCCTATCGAAAGCACGTCGGCGTCACTAGGTAGCGTCCGCGTGCCCACCCCGAGTTTAAGTTGCTCCCTCACCTTCGCACACGGCTTGTTTGTTGGGGGCGCGGTGGTGAATGGCCACTGACAGGAAGAAGCCCCGGTGAGGCGAAAAGCGGCGGGCTCCACGTCTGCGGGTGGTCAGGTGAGTGTCTCCCGCTGCTGTTGTTGATGTCGTCGGTGAGCACGTGGAAATTGAGTTGCTTCATGCTTCCAACCCAGGTCGAACAGGTTCAGATGGCACACACGGTCTCCCTCGAGGGCTGGGGGCGCTTGGTTATTGTGGAAGGGTGCCTGTTGTGGTGGCATTTCGGTTGCGTTGCGCACGCAAATATCGCAATACTTTGCGAGCATTCAGCAGTTGTAACACGCACGCTCGCACGGCGTGTGTGTTGTGCTGAAGGCGCGTCGGCACGTTCCTGTTGATTGTTTCTATTTGGCCGATGTTTTTCATTATTCACGGGGAAGGTGAGGGTTGCGATGCGACTGCCCGGCGGGGGTCGGGTCCAGGCGCCGTTTTCCGCGGACACTTCCCTGCTGGGCCTCCTGCAGTGGTGGGCCGGCCGGGGAGAGCTAGACGCAGGTATGCACGTCACGTCGCCGTTTGGTGGGTTAGGGTGACCGTGTGTCCCGCCATGCAGGGAGCACGTCCCATTTTTTTTTACTTGGTAAATATTGCTTAAATTGAGTACACAACAAATTCATCTCTATCCATAGATAGGGGTCTAAGGATATTATATATTGTGTTTCCATGAAAGCAACGGCGCAGTAAAATTAAGTGGTATCTCGTACCCCCCCCCACCCCCCCCCGCGCGCTTTCGGTTCGTACTGTGTGTCTTGACGACGAGCCCGCCTTTGCTGTCTGTCCCTCTTATGCCTCTTGCTTTGTTGTTGCAAGGCGTCCTCCAACAGGGGCCCTCCCTACAGTTCATGCGCACGGCGTACGGCACCGGAGACCTCGAAGCGACGACCCTCCGCTCCATCGGGCTAGTCACGTGAGAAGTTGCTTGCCTATCATCCCTTTGCTGATGGTGGTGATGTGATGGCGCTGCTGCCGTGTTTTGGGTGGTGCCAATACTTGCGGTGCTACCGGTGCTATTTGTAGTCGACTTTTATAATTGAAGTGGTGATGAACTACAGGTCTTGCTTCTGTTTTTCGGAGATTTGACAAAGCTGTCTGCGACGAACCGTACCGCTGCTTTTCCTGTAAGTTCTGACCAAGGCTGCTTTACTCCCGCCCCCCCCTCCGGTATTTGCCATCGGGGTTGGGTTTTCGTCGCTTGGCAACGACGTTGTAAAACAAGCCAATTCACTTCGTGAATTCGGCAACCAGGTTACCGTTTTTTTTTTACCTCGTTTTTTTTTTGGCGGTAACCATACTGGTGGTCGAGTAGATCATGTTATGCGGGGTGGAGAACCCTCACTCCGCGCAAGTGGGATGATCGCACCACGTTGTGTTAAAATGGTCAAGCACCCTCGAGACAGTTACACAGTGCTAAAAACTGTCTCTGGAAGTGAAAGCACCAGAAAGTATATTAAGTCATACGCAGCTGTCATCCGTACGCAAGGAAGTAAGCACAAGATGCCGAACACCCTTAGCAGGATGCAGCGCACCCTTCATGCGACTCGCCGAATATCTCACGGCGCTTCGCGCTTGGTGATGTGAGAGCCTGGTCCGGTNCCTCTCTCTGTCTCTCTCTGTCTCTCTCTGTCTCTCTCTCCTCTCTCTCTCTCTCCTTCTCTCTCTCTCTTTCCCTCTCTCTCTTTCCCTCTCCCTGTCTCTCTTTCTCTCTCGCCCTTTCTCGCCCATTCCTCTATGTAGAGGATCTGCGATGTTCACCCTCAGCCTGTCTTCCCCAGGCGCCGCCGGCGCTGCAGCAGCACCGCTATCATCATCATCATCATCCAGCGCGGGTGCGTTGCCACCGCCGCCCGGCGCTGGTGCTGATGCTGGTACAAAGGCAAGCCCTCGGACCAACCTTTGCCTTTTTTTCTTATTCGCCCTGCTGTCAGTCAACTCATTCCCTAGTTTGCTGTGGTTTTTTTTATGTTGGCGGATCATCTGTGTCCGTTTGATTTTGTATGTCGACCGTGCGCGAAACGGTTGCTGCGTGACTCGAATCGAGTCCTTTGGTGTTTTTCTTTCTCCTTTTGTTGCCCTCTTTTCTTGGCGTGCGATCGCGATCACGTCAACCTTGTCTTGGTCTTGGTCTTGTTTCTTCGCCGAAAGCCCACCCATTCAGCCGACGACACACGTATCCCCCCCCCCCGCCTGACCGAAAAAAAATGACTGCTGGTCGAAAGCAGCAGGAGGAGACTGACCTTCGTGAGGCAATCGCCCGCAGCGCGGCCAAGGCGCACCCCACAACGGCAAGCGCGAGCGGCGGCGGCGGCGGCGGCGGCGGCGGCGGCGGCGGCGGCGGCGGCGGTGACGGTGCGTCAACGACGAAGGCGGCCGTTACACCACCAGCATCGTCGCCACTGTCGGGGATGGCAGACAAGGAAGCGACAACGTCACGGGCGGACCCAGCCGCTGCCGGTGTTAGTATGGCAGGCGCTCCACCGTCACCAACAGCAGCAGCAGCAGCAGCAGCAGCAGCAGCAGCAACAGGCGCGAGCGCGGCCACTGAAGGCGTCTCGGCGGCGGTGACGGCGAGGGGGGAGGGGGGGCGGCAGGCGGGGGCGGGCGGTAGTGCTCAGGGAGAAGCCGGCCAGGCTGACGCTATGGAGGTTGACCAGCCGTCTGTTCCGGCCATGGGCATTGAGTGAGTGTAGAGCACCCTGAATGGACTCATGTTGTTTGTCCCTCAGCCTTTTTATGGTTGTTTTTGACAGCAGGACATCAATATATATTCATGGCCATCAATATTCTTTGAGAGGATTCCAGTATGCATTTGCGATGAGTTCATGTTTTTTTCTGGGACCTACCTGTGGTTGTACCACCCTCCCGCAAGGGCTTTGTAGTTGTATAGGGGTGACGCCAAGAACGGCCAAAAAGTCGCCTTTGCCTGGTGCTTTTGAGATCGGCGTTAGGGGAGGTGTTTAAGCGAAAACGCTTGAAGTGATAGTTTGGGGCCACAGAGGGGGACAGCCAGCTATCAAAAGGCTTGTGCCATGCGCTTGTCTATTCTACTCTACGTTTGACTGTCCCATGTTATGTGTATTAATACAACTTGGGATGCAGACCGGTCTAGGGTACCCTCTGTAGTGTTTCTTTCACCCCTGCTGAGTGTTTTTTTTTTCAGTCGTCAGAGTGCCGGGTGGCATCGGTGGTAGGGCAATATACCCATAGGGCAATATACCTATGAAGCCGGGGGTGATGGGATGGGCTGTGATGTACGCCTCGTGTGTTTGGGTAATTAGATACGTCTTCATGGAATAGCAACCACCGAATGGTTTCTTGCATGTCTCCCGTATTTAGGGTATTTTTGTACCATCTTTCAAGCGGGGTGATGTACCACTGTGTGTTTGGATGATTAGGGCGCACCCACACCAGGAAAAACCGAATGCTTGCTTGTCCCGATCACTTGCTTGCATTCATCCCGTTCAATGCTGTAGTAGAGAACGGCTCGTTGTTGTTCCTCACGAATGCGTACCGTCTGTCACCTCGTGTTCCCAGAGTGTGTCGGGCTGCGCTGGAGGCCATGGCGGCGGGACACTTCGACGCGGACAGCCAGGCCTGCGTGACAACGCTCGCCAAGGTCATCGACAACGTCGTTCACCGTCCTGGGGATTCTCGGACGCGGCAGATCCGCTGCGCGAACGCGGCGTTTCAGCACAAGGTATTTTGTATGTACGCAGGTGTTTGGCAGCCGCAAAGCTGTCTTGTTGGTTTTGTTGTTGTTGTTGTTGTTGTCGATGGCGGTGTGTGATACTCGGAAAGGCGATGCCCGCGCTACCGTACCCATCCCCTTTTAGTTTTTCTTAGTATGACACAATATGTCCATCTCTATCTACAGAAAAGAGTCTTCAGATACATTAGCGATGGATTCAGAGCGTCAGTGGAAGGCTGAGCAATATTTCGACGATTTGATTGATTTTATGGCGTCCGTCCGAGACCCGGTGTTGGCTTGAGGTGGGGAAACGCGGCGTTTCAGAAACAAGGTATTGTTGACGGGTGTTGGTCGGCAATTGCAACTGCCCATGTGCCTTTGTTGTTAATTCGATGACGATGTGATTTTGATTTCAAAGAGGCGCATGCGCGCCCCGCGCGCGCCGCGTCATCTTTTGAGAGATTTTGTGGACACATTCGTCGAGACTTACAGGCTTTAGCCGGGGGGGTTGTGACCGATGCTAGCGGGGAACCTCCTCACGCGATTTGTTTTGTCACGAAAGTCAGTCCTCGTTCAATCAACTCCCGATGATAAGAGATCGCAGGTAGCGCGGTCGTTTAGCAGCACCAGCACCAGCACCAGCACCAGCACCAGCAGCGCTACTAGTATTGCGTGCTTCTTTCATGATTTTGCACTGCCTCGCTGTTTTTCTTGCGTGTACCCGCGCACACGGTGTAGGTGGGCCGCATCACCGGAGGCATCTCGTTCCTAGAAGGCGTCGGGTTCGTGTCCCGAGAAGAGGGACCGCAGCAGCAGCAGCAGCAGCAGCAGCTCTTGGGCGGTGGCGGCGGCGGCGGCAGCGCGGGGGACAGGTGAGACTTGCTGCTGACTGATGCTGGAGCGACTCTCCACGTTCTTTTGTTGTCGATAATGCATCAAGCTGAACAACACGCCGACCATTGTGTTTTCTCTCGAATGCAGTGGCTATTGCCCAGTACGGTGGAGCTGCTCCGCCCCCCGTGTGATACGAGATATCACACTCCCCAGGTAGATCTCTTCAAAGCTCGATTACTCCACAGCACAGAGTGCGGCGGTGCTGAAAATGGCGGCGTTGGAAGCGTCTCGTCGAGATCTTTCCCGTTGGACTTTGGCATCCGCCCTCTTCGTCGTGGAGTACCTGACCCCTGAAAATCGGTTCAGCTCAGGGGGGGTGGTATCTTGAGTCACCTGCGGCAGTAGTTGAGGGGCGTCAGGTCATCGACCACACGACCGAACGTGTTGCCCAGGGAATAGCCCCGGGCCGCAGGGTATCTCTCTTGAGGTGGTGTGTAGTAGTGTTGTTGGGTGGGTAGGTCCGTTCAACCTTGCTTGTGTGGCAGGGTATCTTGAGGTATGAAAACATCCACCTCGCTGTACGGCTGAACGCTCCGCATACCCTTGTTTGTGCACCGGGCTATCAAAAAGGGTGCTCACAATGTACATTGTCAAGTTCGCGACGGCGAAAGGACCCCGGTCAAACGTCGTTTCTTCCGCTTTTTGTCGCTCACGCTTTGTGCAGGTTTCTCGTTCTCGCACCCGAGCGCGAGGACGCTGGTCTCCTGAAAGCGGCAAGGGACCTCTTGTCCAAGCAGGCGGAGGCGCTGGGGGTGCCCCGGGAGCGCATGCCTCAGCCGCCTCGGGCTCGTCCTTCTCCGCCGCCGCCTTCCGCGGGGCAGGCGGCTCCTGCTGCGTTTGACCCGTACAAGGTGGGTCTGGATTTGTCGGTTGCTGTTGCTGCTGTTGTTGTCGTCCATCGTGCGTTGTGCTTGTTTCCATCGCCGTTCTGCCGATTGATTGATGCTTCTTTTGCCAGTTCAAGGCGTTTGGTTCGGCCGGTGCCCTCTTGCCTTCGATCCGTGGATCTGTCTTTGCGTATCAGCGGCGGTCATCTCTGATGGGTCGAGGCATTCTCTCTCGACATGGCCGTCTGGCCCCTTCTTGTGTAAAGCACCACCTACAACCTACAACAGCAGCCTCTCTTTTGAGGGCGCCGCTGATCTCTTCGTCCCGGTGCTGGCGGTGCTACCTGTGCAACCTGTCGCCGATGTACCTCCCCAAGCACCGTTCTATTTCCTTGACCCTCGCTTGCTTCTCTCTCCATTCCCCCCCACCCCCGATGAGACGTCTATTTTCCCCGTGCGACGATTTCCCACGGGTCTGTCATTGCATCGCCCAGCCCAACCCGCCAACCCCGTATCGTCGTCCCTTCCCTCTCCGTCCCCCCTTTTGCTATCCGAAATCCGCGGAAATGCTCTCGGGGGGG